CTTGCTTCTTTTCTCCCTCCCACCACCCTTCCACCCTTTTTGTTGTCTCTTCTCTTTCCTCCCTCCCTTCCTTCCTTCCTTCCTTCCTTCCTTCCTTCCTTCCTTCCTTCCTTCCTTCCTTCCTTCCTTCATTACAATATTCATTTTGATTTTGTTGTTTTCTTCTGTTTTAATAAATACTCTGGTGTTTGCATTTCTACTTGCCTTGTTTTGCCGTTTTGATGCCTTTTGCAGAGTAAACCTTACCTCTTTGCTTGGATATTTCTCTTTCCCCTTCTCTTCCATTTGCTTTGTCCCCTGTCTTGAGTTCACTCCCTTTCCTTATATGCCTTTTTCAAACTCCTCGTCCCTCAGCAAGCCTTCCGCCAATTTCCTTCCTTTCGGTCTCTCCGTTTCATTGATCATATATGGGTGGCACTGTTTACTTGTGACTCTATTTTGTACCATGTCTTCCTTCCTTCCTTCCTTCCTTCCTTCCTTCCTTCCTTCCTTCCTTCCTTCCTTCCTTCCTTCCTTCCTTCCTTCCTTCCTTCTGTTTTTCTTTCTCTTTCTCCTTCTCTTTCTCTCTCCTTCCTGGAGTTAAATTCAGATAAGAAAGAAATCAAAGAACTAAGAAAGGTTTACAGACGTTGGTGTGAGTCTCCATTTCATCTCCCAGAGTGGAAAGCAGTGACTTTAGAACACAGGGAAAAAATGCCTTGGTTTTAGTGAGGGATGAAGCCCTCTAGTTCAGCGTTGCCTGCAACAACAGCCCTACAAGGTAGACCAGGCTAGGACCCATATAGTACCATCTAGAGCAGGACCACTTTGATTGTAACAGGTGTAATGAAAGCACCTTGAATGTGCTTCCCCCTCCATTCCTTAATCTTCACGTGAACCAGGAGAGGTGTGTGCTCCAGGCACTTACTCAATTACTTTTTTAACCGGGGCTCAAACACCTCTTATCTAGTATACAAACAGAGCATATAAACAGACAGCAAAGCCCACTCCCTGATGACGATACCTGGTATGGTCGTGAAAGGTCTGCAAGAAAACAAGCAAACTCAGAGAACATCACCAAGGTCCCCACGCTTCTTATCTAACCAGAGTTCACCCCACCTCTTATCTAATGTTGCTTTGCTTTCCTCCTGTCACTCAAGGCCATTCCCAGCTAGCTTTGCACAAGAAGGAAGATTAAATCAATAGTAACGGGTCCTTCCACAACTTAATTTATTGACACCCAGCCATCCTGGTCTGATGCAAGCCCCCTGCTCAGGTCTCGGATCCTTCCTTCCTTCACGGATAATGCGAATGCCATCATTTACCTTTGATTAAACCCTGGTTAGAGTGAAACGTGCTATACAGGCAGCACCGCCCCATTCTTAGAGAAGCAACCTAGAACTAAGGAGAAATTTCCTGACAGTGAGAACAATTAACCAGTGGAACAGCCTGCCTCCAGAAGCGGTGAATGCTCCAACACTGGAAGTTTTTAAGAAGAGACTGGACAGCCATTTGTCCGAAATGGTGTAGGGTTTCCTGCCTCAGCAGGGGGTTGGACTAGATGACCTCCAAGGTCCCTTCCAACTTTACTACTATTACTATATCCAGAATTTGGCTAAGATTAAACCAAGGCTTATTTCAGGGCAGGACAAGGGACTCTTATCCAGTCCCAATCAACAGGAAAACCCAGAAGGAGTCAGACAGCGGAAAGAAAAAAAATAAATATAAATATGGCTGGTCCCTATAAAATGTTGAACGTCCTCCTGAACCCTCTTTTTACAATTGTAGAGTTAGCGGACAGCATTAGCCCATCTTTTTTTGGTGTGCAGTTGTGCGTGTGCGTGTGTGTGTGTGCTTGTGTGTGCGAAAAATGGATCCACATGAAACAGTGCTTTTTCTCTCCCATCCCGATCATCCCTCCGGCGAGGTGCATCTGCATGCAACACCCACTGTGGTCATTTTGTGTGATTTCTCGTTTCCCCCCCCCCACCGCCCGCCCTGTGTCCGTTTCCTTTTCTGTTTCCTTCCCCCTTTTTTGATCCTTACGAATTCTCTTTTATTGTTATGATTATTGTTATGATTATAATTCTGGCAGGGCTGTGATGTGCCAATGTTAGATCAGCACATTGGATCACATCAGCTAGAAACAGAGTATGCAGCATTTTAAAAGTGGGTTCCCCTGTACCCCAAACCTCTCTGCCTCTCTCTAATTTCCCCCCCACCCCATTTTCCCCTGAACCTCATGGGCGTTTGCTAGCAGCCCACTGAATAACTTCCACTGTTCTATACCTCCTTCTCCCCTTCTCTCTCTCTCTCTCTCTCTCTCTCTCTCTCTCTTCCTCCTCTTCTTTCTTTTTCTCTCCTCTTGTGCTTCTCCTTTTGCATGACCTCCGAAAGCTGCATCTATCAATGGAATCATGTCAGATTTTTCCAAGAAGCTTCGTTAGGGTGTATATACCCCAAAACCACAAAAATTTGATTAGAGTTTCTCATCTTTTTATCGCCCGTTATCCTCACTTGCTCCCCTTGATTTTTGCCACCTGCGAGCATTTCAGCACGATAGTCTCTTAGGAGCGCCTAGTTTTAATCATAATTACAGGTCATCCTGGTTTAGCCGCTATCTTACTTAGCGGCCAATTGCAGCTACGACCCTGATGAAATTTCACAGGATAATGAGCAGTCCCAGGCCCAAAGTTACCACCTTTGGGGGTCTATAAAGCAAAGGAGAGCTGCAGTTAGATCACAAGCGCAGTTGCCGTCTTGCTTAGTGACTGAGTTGCGGGTGCCAACGGTGGTCACTAAATGAGGACAAGCTGTAAAGGATTTCAGCTCTTTTGGGTCCATTTTTGCATCTGGTCACGAGGGCAGACTGGCTGTGAGAAAGACTGCAAGTAGTCCTCGGCTTACGACCACAATCGTGGCCAGGATTTCCATTGCTAAGCAAGATGGTTAATCCTGCCTGATTTTAGCAGCTTTTTTCCCCCATGGTTGCTAAGCAAATCCATGGAGTCTCTAAGTGAATCACTTAACATTAAGCTGGATTGTTAAGGAGATCCAGCTTTTCCCATTGGCTTTACTTGCTGGAAGCTGGTTAAGGAAGGTTAGAAATGATGATCAGATGAGCCTAGAAGGGTGCAACCATCATAAACCACCATTGCCAGGTCCCCGAATTTTGATCACATGACAATGGTTGTAAATGTCAGGACTGGTTGTAAGCCCTTTTTTTCAGTATTGCTGTAACTTCAAACAGTTACTAAATCAGGGGTCTTCAAACTTGGCCACTTTAAGACTTGTGGACTTCAACTCCCAGAATTCCTCAGCCAGCCCTCAGGGCTGGCTGAGGAATTCTGGGAGTTGAAGTCCACAAGTCTTAAAGTGGCCAAGTTTGAAGACCCCAGCACTAAGTGAATGGTAGTAACTCAAGGGCTATCTGCATAACCCTCAAGGAGGACTGGATACCCAGATGTGAAACACAGCTGTTTTATCATCGCTTCCCCAACAGTGGCCATCTATTGGCTTTCTGAAAAATCTGGCCTCCCACATTTTAGATGTACCGATGGGAATTCCTCACGACGACTCAAAAAAGAGCTCGACATTTCCGCTGCTAAGCCAGAGAGTTCTTAAGTGAGGTTTTCCCCCCCCCATTTTACAATCTTCCCCACCACCTTTGTTAAAGCAAATTGCTGAGGTTATTAAGTTAGTAAGATGGCTGTTAAGTGACTCCGACTTCCTTATGGACTTTGCAAGTCAGAAGGTCGCAAAAAGAGGATCAAATGATCGCTCCCCCGGGATGCTGTGACCGTCGTAAATACGAACCAGTTGCCAAGCATCTGAATAGGGCAGGGGCAGGCAACCTTGGCTCTTTTATGACTCGTGGACTTCAACTCCCAGAATTCCTGAGCCAGCATAGCTCAGCTTGGAAACCTCTCCCTTTCCCCTCAGCATGGCTGGCTCAGGAATTCTGGGAGTTGAAGTCCATGAGTCATAAAAGAGTCAAGGTTCCCCACCCTTGCTATAGACCAACTCTACATCCGGTGGAACTGCTGGTTTGTACCTTTAGAGCAGAGGTCTTCAAACTAGGCCCTTTTATGACTTGTGACTTCAACTCCCAGAATTCCTGAGCCAGCCATGCTTAGGGGAAAGGGAAAGGTTTCCAAGCTGAGCCATGCTGGCTCAGGAATTCTGGGAGTTGAAGTCCACAAGTCATAAAAGAGCCAAGGTTGCCTACCCCTGTAATAGGGAATGCAGCAACGGGTGTAAGTGTGGAAAACAGTCGTAATTCACTTTTTCCAGTGCCGTTGTAACTTAGCACGGTCACTAAACGAATGGTGGTTAAGTTGAGGACTACCTGTAAAAAGCCATTCTCCCCGTCTTCCATTTTTTTATTTTAGGGGGTGGGCTTTGATAGAGCCTTCCCCCCCCCCACCATTGTTTATCCAGGATTTTTATCTCTTCCCTAAACCAGGATCCAGATTTTAAAGGGAATGCAGACCAAATCCCACATTTTCATCTTGCAAGTTGGTGGCCCCTCAGGGTTGGGGCCAAGATGTACGAGGACTCCCATCCGGACGCGCTTGTGCCCTCTGTTTGCTTTTTCCAAAGATGAGAAATTGCTAATAAATTTTTGTGTCTATATTTGTGCTGTGATGACAGGTTTCAAACTGATCATTGGAACTCTGTTGCTATGAAATATTGCTTTGATGTCTATATTCTCTATATATATCGTTTGTGAAAGTAATTCTTTTCGAAGTTCTGTTTATTTCCCCTTCCCCCCCATTTCTTGATTGATTTCTTTAACATTCCGATAATTTTTTAATTTCAGCCTTTTTTAATTTTGAAAAAAAAAATGAAGGAACTTACAAGTAATGCCAGCCCCACCTGTTATTTAAATTCTCTTCTGCTCTTTTTGTCCCCTTTTCCCTCCTTATCTTTTATTTTTTTTTTCTTCTCTCTTTTTTTCTCCTTTTTTTTTTCCTTTTTTTCCCGTTTTGTTTTGTTACCGCTGTGCATTTCGTCCGCAGTGCGGCGCGTGGCTCCCCGATTCTCCATCCCGCCCACCAGCCACGAGATCATGCCAGGCGGGAACGTGAACATCACCTGCGTGGCGGTGGGCTCGCCTATGCCGTACGTCAAATGGATGCAGGGGGCCGAAGATTTGACGCCGGAGGATGACATGCCAGTGGGACGCAACGTTCTTGAGTTGACCGACGTCAAAGACTCCGCCAACTACACGTGTGTCGCCATGTCTAGCCTGGGTGTCATTGAAGCGGTGGCCCAGATCACCGTCAAATGTAAGTTTGCACCATTCCTTGATCGATTCGGTCTCCTACTGCCTGGCTTGGTCCTGGTGATCTTTGCTCTGGATTTGAGATTCTCAGTCAATCCAGGTCTTGTTTTTTCTTTGAAGACGTTTCGCTTCTCATCCTAGAAGTTTCTTCAGCTCTGACTGGATGGTGGGGGAATGGAAAGATTTATACTCCTTTCAGATAGCTGGTCATTTGCCTCCTCTTAGAGAGTCGTTGAGGCCACTTGGAGGTTTATCTGTGTCCTCAGGGTCACCTGCGTGGGGCAAATGAGCCCTCCAAGTGGCCTCAAGGACTCATTAAAACAGGGGTGTCAAATTCGCAATGTCACGTGATATGTTGCGACGTCTTGCGGCTTTTTTCCCATTGCTGGCAATGGGATGGGCGCGGTTTCGCCATGACACACCCAGCCCACAGGCCGGCAGTTTGACACCCCTGCTCTAAAAGAATGCAAATGACCTGCAAGGAATACAAATCCTTCCCTTCCCCACCATCCAGTCAGAATTGAAGAAGCTTCTTGGATGAGAAGCGAAACGTCTTCAAAGAAAAAACAAGAACGTTTGTTGGTCTCCTGAAAAATTCACTCTTGATTTCTCCCAATGGTGGAGCCTTAGCTTGATCTATAGCGGCTTTCCACAACACACAACTCCCAGTTCGTTGTGGACGTCTGGGTGTTCCATTGGACAAAGCTGCTTTGCAAAGCTGTTGAAAATGAATTTGTTTTTTTGAGTCCTTTCAGGCGAAAGGGGATGTTGGTTAGGTGAGACAGTCTCTCCCTAACCTAGATCCCCTGTCTACATGTGCATGTCCGCCATTCTCTTCCTGTTCCCTCTGCTTGACTCCGTCCTGTCCCTTCCGCTGGTCGGCAGAACCAAAATCGGAATGCGTTGAAGTTGCAAGTGGGAATCCTATTTATTTAGGATTCAGGGGGGGACAGACAGTCAAATCGTTTGGGACTACAACGTGGATCACGACTCGCCTTTGGCTATGTGGATTGCAGCTCGTGGACGTTCGGCAGATAGTCCTCCACTTACGACAAGTGGGCCCGGCGCTTCTGTAGCTGAGCAAGGCAGATGTTCAGTGAATCGTACCCGATTTTACGGGCTTTTTTGCCACGATTCTTAAGCAAACCCTTGCCGTCGTTAAATAAATCATGTGGTCGTAAAGTGAATCTGGATACCTCCCCTTGACTTTGCTTGTTGCAAAGGTTTCAAATGGCAGCCACAGGACCCCAGGGGGCTCCAGCTGTCGTAAATACTTGCCAGTTGTAAAATTACGTGAATTTGGATCACGTAACCAGGGGGACAATTCCAGCGGTTGTAAGTGTAAGAAGCAGCCGTAAGCAACCTTTCTTTCAGCGCCGTCGTAACTTCCAGCGAATGGTCGTAAGTCGAGGACTACCTGTTCTGCAAAATATCTGAAATGGATCACATGACTTGCTTCTGCATTGTCCTGGGGCATTGTGATTTCTGACTCCGGGCTCCTCTGTAGAGTCTGAACTGTGCACGAGAAGAACGTTGTTGCATGATGTGACATCAGCCTGTGCATGTGTCCCGGATTGCCCTCCCATGTTCCCTGGGAGGGGAATGCATGACACCCCATGCCGCCATGTTGTTTGCAAACAAGGTCCAGATGCAACCTCAGCATGTCCCCTTCGCTTTGTGCATTCACATCCTGGAGAAGCATGTCTGCCTCCCGTGTACTTTTGCCTAGGTTTTGTGGCCAGTTTGTGGGCTCTTCGGGCATGCCACTGTGTCTTTGCGGGTTGGACTAGAAGACCTCCGAGGTCCCTTCCCCCAGTGTGATTCCGTTATAAGAGCATGAGGAGCGTTTGACAGAGTAAAACAGCAATGGGCACCTCCCCTGCCCTGCTGCAGCAAAGAGTAATCTGGGTGTAATTTGTGCGTTGACCTGAAGGAAAACAGAGGTGCGATAATGTCTGTATTTTTGGGAATGGTCAAAGAGAAAAACAAAGGGGAATAATTGGGTCATTTCAAAGGCCAAGATGATCCAGCATTAGTTAACAATCTAGAACAGTCTTTCTCAACCATGTGCTCATTAAGATGGGTGGAGTTCAACTGGCTGGGGAATTCTGGGAGTTGAAGTCCACCCATCTTAAAGAGCACAAGACTGATCTAGAACATCATGGATGCTTGCAAGATGGTCGAAAGCAGAGAGCTTTCATCTTCTGCCCCAGATGCAAGAGGCAGCAAGAACAAAGGAATAAAATCTAGATAGGTGACCCTTGATTTATAACCGGTCACTTAGCTTAGCGACCGTTCTAAGCTGTAGACCTACCTGGGAGCTACTCACGACTTGCTTCCAAAATCCCGAAAGTCGGACCCTTCAGATGTTCAGCGAGGTAGCTGCTTTCATGGGAATTGTAATCACAGGGCGGCATTTTGTCAAACATGGTTAATTCCTGTGGTCGGCAAAACTGCGGTCACAGCGAATCGTGGTTTTGCTTAACAACATCAACGTTTGCTTAACCACCGTGGGGGGTCACTTTACCGCCATAGCATTTGTTTCATGCCCATCACAAAAAAAAGGTTGTAATATGACTCTCGTGACTTACGACTATGATATGCAGGCTCCATTATAGTCGTAAGTAGAGGATTACCCATAGGCAGGGGTAGGAAACCTTGGCTCTTTTATAACTCTTGGACTTCAACTCCCAGAATTCCTGAGCCAGCATGGCTCAGCTTGGAAACCTCTCCCTTTTCCCTCAGCGTGGCTGGCTCAGGAATTCTGGGAGTTGAAGTCCACGAGTCATAAAAGAGCCAAGGTTACCCCTGACTTTGATCCATCTACTACCACTTTAGCAGGCAGGCACAAAGGAACAACCATATGATATTTCTTGAGATCATAAATGTAACGCCATTTCCACCAGAAGTTTAGCAGGCATTTCCATGTCTATTTTTAGCCATTTAATGAATTTAATTTGGAACCAACACATTCACGATGCCAAGTTGGCAATCTGGCGAAATATCTTATGACTTTGTTTCCTTAGGGCAGGGGTGGTAGGCAACCTTGGCTCTTTTATGACTGGTGGACTTCAACTCCCAGAATTCCTGAGCCAGCCATGCTGAGGGGAAAGGGAGAGGTTTCCAAGCTGAGCTATGCCGGCTCAGGAATTCTGGGAGTTGAAGTCCACGAGTCATAAAAGAGCCAAGGTTGCCTACCCCTGCCCTTATAGGGATAGGAAAATTATAGAACTTGGCAATAGGGTGAAGGATTGATGGAAGGGAAAGAGGCTCCAGAGCTGTCCCATTACAGACGTACGTCATTGCAGTTGTTAAGTAAGGCACCCAAGTGATTGCCTTGCTCAACCGCCGTTGTCCTGGCACTCAAAGATACAATCGTTAAGTGACTGCATAGGTTTGCAGACAAATACAGGCAGTCTCAACTTATGACCAAAAATGGAGCCCAGAATTTCCGTTGCTGTGCGAGACAGTTGTGAAATGAGTTTTGTCCCATTTTACGATCTTTCTTGCCCCGGTTGTTAAGTGAATCACTGAAGTTATTAAGCGAGTAACACAGTTGTTAAGTCGATCTGGCTTCCCCATTGACTTTGCTTGTCAGAAGGGCACAAAAGGGACCCCAGGACATTGCAGCTGTCATAAATATGAACCAGTTGCCCAGCGTGTTAGTCCCTTAACAACTGTAGCGACTGCCTTAACAACTGTGACATAAAACGGGGCCAAACTCACTTATCAAATACCTTGGCTTAGCCTTATGTCATGGTTCTGACAGATGAAACTCTTCAAAAGCACTTCGAGGCGTTGTTTACCTTAAAGAATCTTTTATTCGAGTAGCATAATAATATTGGCACTGCATAATCGAAGCCAAAAACTGAATTCCCCTCCCCTGAGCACATAGAATCAAAGCACAATTCCTTCCTCCAATTAACAGTCATAAATCACATTCCCCAATAAGCTTGAAGGGTGGGCTTCCTATCCAGTTCTCCAGCCAATTCCTTATCAGCTCTGGTTACAATAACCTTGTTTCTCAGGCTAGGTTTAGTGTTGTTATGTCTAGCTCAGCTGTTCTCAACCTATGGGTCGCGACCCCATTTGGGGTCGATCGACCATTTCACGGGGGTCGCCAAGCAAGGCTGTCTGCCATTTTTTTCCCCTTTTCTGGCGGGTGCCTTACCTCCCTTGGGCTGGGCCAGCAGCTGGCCCAGCCAGTGGTCGGCCTGCTCCGTCTCTGCCGCTTGCCAGCTACGCCTCGGCCGATGCAGGGGGCGGCCCTATGCATGCGCGGCGCTCCTGGGCAGGGAAAGTCCTCGACTTAACGACCGGTTGGGTAGTCCTCGACTTACAACCAGTTTAGTCCTCGAATTAAAAAGGTTGAGAACCACTGGTCTAGCTGGACTCTCGTTCACATTCCCCCCCTGCCAGCATCATCTAACTCAGTGGTTCTCAACCTTTTTAATGCCGTGACCCCCAACCGGTCGTAAGTCGAGGACTACTCAACCGGTCGTAAGTCGAGGACTACTCAACTGGTGCAGCACCATTTGCAGAATGGGACTTTTGGTGGGCTCAGCACGGCAGAGACAGCCTGGACAATTCCTATTGGCTTTTGAAAGCCAATAGAATTAGACTATTCAAGAGAGTCTATTCTATTGGCTTTCAAAAGCCAATAGAATAAAAGGGAGTAGCACAGCTAAGGAAAAGGGGGTAAAAAATGGCGGACTGCGTTGTTTGGCGACCCCCGTGAAATGGTCGTTCGACCCCAAATGGGGTCCCGACCCACAGATTGAGAACCGTTGATCTAACTCTAAAAGCAAAAGGTAAAAGATGGCTACATTTTCCATCTGTTGTCAATGCAAAAACATCTGATGTTAACAGCGTTGACACCTTATACATTTTGGGCACAATTGTGGAAATATAGGACTACCTATATTTGCAAACAAACGGCCACTTTTTTAGCACTGGGCACACATTAATGATGCCATCCAGATTGATGATGTTGGTTAAGGAAGTTCATAAAATCCACCTAATTAGGCTGGGAATATTTCAACCACTCTTCTTCAGTAAATGCTACCCCCTGCGCCGCACGTCGGGCGCTCTCGCTGGCCAGTTAGGTGAAACGTAGTGCATACAGCGGGCGCGATTGTGTTCTTTTCATCAATTCTTCCCATTTTCTCAGCCTTTCCCAAAGCTCCAGGCACCCCTGTTGTCACCGAGACCACGGCCACCAGCATCACCATAACCTGGGACTCTGGAAATCCGGACCCAGTCTCCTATTACGTGATCGAGTATAAGTCAAAGAGTCAGGACGGGCCATATCAAATCAAGGAGGACATCACCACCACCCGCTACAGCATTGGGGGGCTTAGTCCCAACTCAGAGTATGAGATCTGGGTGTCGGCGGTGAACACAATTGGGCAGGGCCCTCACAGCGATTCCGTTGTGACCCGTACGGGGGAGCAGGCCCCCGCCAGCGCCCCTCGAAATGTTCAGGGCCGGATGTTGAGCGCTTCGACCATGATCATCCAGTGGGAGGAACCGGTGGAACCGAACGGTCAGATCCGGGGGTACCGGGTGTATTACACCATGGAGCCCGACCAGCCAGTCAGCAACTGGCAGAAACACAACGTGGATGATAGCCTCTTGACCACCGTTGGGAGCCTTCTGGAGCACGAGACCTACACCGTGCGAGTCTTGGCGTTCACGTCGGTGGGGGACGGCCCGCTCTCGGATCCCATCCAAGTGAAAACCCAACAAGGAGGTGAGACGTTGTTTGGTCTAGTGGTCAAGGTGCTGGGCTAGGAGACTGAGTTCTAGTCCTGTCTTAGGAATGAAAGGTGACTGGATGATTTTAGGTCAATAACTAGGTGGCAGGGAGTTCTAGTCCCACCTAAGGCATGAAAGTCAACTGGGTAACTTTGGGCCAATAATTAGGCGACAGTGAGTTCTAGTCCCGCCTAAGGCATGAAAGTCGACTGGATGATTTTGGGCCAATCACCAGGAGAGGGTGAGTTCTAATCTGCCTTAGGCAAGAAAGCTGGCTGGGTGACTTTGGGCCAATAATTAGGCGACAGTGAATTCTAGTCCCGCCTAAGGCATAAAAGTCGACGGGGTGACTTTGGGCCAATCACCAGGAGATGGTGAGTTCTAGTCCACCTTAGGCAAGAAAGGTGGCTGGGTGACTTTGGGCCAATAATTAGGCGACAGTGAGTTCTAGTCCTGCCTAAGGCATGAAAGTCGATTGGGTGACAAGGGGTTTCACTCTCTGTCAGCCCAACCCACCTAATGGTTGTTGTTGTGGAGAAAATAGGAGGAGGAAGTAGTATTGTGTGTGTTCACAGGCTGGAGTTATTTATAAAGGCAAGATATATTTATAAATAACTAACTTGCTATGGCGGGGTCCCCAACCTCTGGTCCGTGGATCGGTGCCAGGCTGCAGCATGCCAGCAACCGGTCCGCACAAACAAGCAAAGCCCCATCCGCGGGATGCAGGCAGCACACAAAACCACGCACCCTCCGGTCTGCAGAAAAACCTCTCTCCCCGGAACCGGTCTCTGGTGCCCAAAAGGTTGGGGGCCTCTGTGCTACGACACTTCATTTGATTCTCCCAAAGGGCTTCAGAACCACTTCACTGCTTAGCAACCCATAAACTAGTTTTAATGAGTGTCTAGCTTGCCATTTAAGAGTGCTTTTGTCTTGTGATAGATTTAGTTGGCCATTGTATTAATTTTAACTACAAAAAATTGAATGCCGTAGTTTCTGTCAGTCAAGAAGAGATGGAAGGAGGAATGAATGGAATAGGAATGAATCCATTTGTCTGGAATGGTATAGGGCAGGGGTGGGCAACCTTGGCTCTTTTATGACTCATGGACTTCAACTCCCAGAATTCCTGAGCCAGCATGGCTCAGCTTGGAAACCTCTCCCTGTCCCCTCAGCGTGGCTGGCTCAGGAATTCTGGGAGTTGGAGTCCACGAGTCCTAAAAGAGCCAAGGTTCCCCACCCCTGCTATATACCAATCTAAATCCGGTGGAACTACTGGTTTGTACCTTTAGAGCAGGGGTCTTCAAACTTGGCCCTTTTATGACTCGTGGACTTCAACTCCCAGAATTCCTGAGCCAGAATGGCTCAACTTGGAAACTTCTTCCTTTCCCCTCAGCGTGGCTGGCTGAGGAATTCTGGGAGTTGAAGTCCACGAGTCATAAAAGAGCCAAGGTTGCCTACCCCTGGTATAGGGCTCCTGCTTGAGCTAGGGGTTGAACTAGAAGATCTTCGAGGTCCATCCCAACTCTGTTATTCTGTTGTTCTGTTATGACTGAAGCTGGCTTGCATGTGACCAGGAATAATTAGTATAAAGCCGGTATATTGACAAGGGTTGAATTGTGCAACATAGATTTGAAGGGAGAGTAAATGGGTCGAGAGGGAGAGGAAGATTCGCCTTAATGAAAAAGGGGCAGTATATAAACATAATAAATAAATAACATGATAAAGAAATAAAATTGAGAACATTGCAATTGGATGGAATTGAGATCCTGTAGAAAGAGGACTAAGAAGAAAAGACTGTGCATAAGTCTCTTCTCTTCTCTTCTTTGTTTCTTTTGTTTTCTTCCCCCAAATCCTGCATGGATTTGGCAGAAGAAAAGAGATGGCAAATGGGGTTCATGTAAACTATATACAAGTAGTCCTTGACTTAAGACCACAATCGGGACTAAAGTTTTCATTGTTAAGCAAGGCAGTTGTCACACAAGATTTTACAACCTCTTTAACCCCGGTTGTTAAGCAAAGCACTGCAGTTTTTAAGTGAATCACTGTGCTGTCCCTCTTACTCTCTCTCTCTCACACACACACACATATGTGTGGTTTAGTGAGTTTATTAATATTCCCCAGCTATTCCCTTCACCAAAAACTGTCCCAATTAAGTCCAGCCACAAGCAAACCAAGGTTAGTCCACAGAGCAATGGTAAAAGAATCCACAAAGCCCTTGAAAGTTGCTCAGACACAATAACTCCACCAGACAAACTTAAACCCACACATAAGGGAGCTCACGAGGAAAAAAAAGCTCAGAGTTTCCAAGGCATGAGTCAGTTCCAAACATTGTGTCAATTCAGAGTGAGGCCGGAATCACCACGACTAGAAAACACACAGCTAGAAAACAAACATGTTCTTCTCAGTAACCCCTCCATTTGTCCGCTGTGATAAATAGCTTTCTGGTGCAGCCCATCAAGACAGGCGAGGCTTTCTCCTCTCGAGTAGTCTGGCTGACCTCCACTGCTCCTGCCTTTTCTCTGCCCTGTCCTCAGATCAGGTGCAGAAGGCAGTTCCTCCTCCTCTTTGCTGGCCGTCGGCCACTGCAAGTTTTCCCCAGCTGGATCCTCAGCCAAATCCCTTCCGGATGGCTGTTCAGAGCCATTGATCAACTCAGTTCCTGATGTGCCAGGAATTGGCTCATCCTTCCCCAAGTTGCCATCTAAGGAGGTATCTGGGGAATCGTCCAAGAGAGTCATCGCAATCACATGCTCGTTAAGTGAATCCGGCTTCTCCCATTGATTTGCTTGTTGGAAGCCGGCTGGGAAGGTCACAAAGGAAAACAGTGACTTCCAACCAATCCTCAGACTTACAACCATCTTGGCATCCCCATGGTCATGTGATCAGAATTCAGGCACTAGGTAACCCACATGTACTTACGACCGTTGCGATGTCCTGGGATCACATGATCACCATTCGCAACTTTCCTGACGGGCACAGTCGACGCAAAAAGCTGGATTCACTTAACAAATGCATTGATTCATTTACCAACCAAGGCCCCCAAAAATGTCATAAAATCAGCATAGGCAACGACTCGCTTAACCATTGCCTTGCTTAGCAATAGAAATTTGGGGCTCAATTTGGGTCGTAAGTCAAGGACTACCCGTTTATCCAGTTGTTGTCATGGTTCCGGCAGATGAAACTCTTCAAAGCACTTCGAGGCATTGTTTACCTTAAAGAATCTTTTATTCAAATAGCATAGCATCCGCAGGTACATAGCAAAGCCAAAATCTGAATCCCCCTCCCCCGAGCACATAGTATCAAAGGACAATTCAATCCTCTAATTAATAGTCATAAATCACATTCTCCAATTAGTTTGAAATGCAGGCTTTCCCTCCTGTTCTCCAACCCGCCAGTTCTTATCATCTCTTATTTCAAAAAACCTTAGTTCTCACACTATTACAATATTGCTATGTCTAACTAACTCCCATACACATTCCTCCTCCTCCCCCCCCCCCAGTATCATCTGATTCCAACTCTAATTCTAAGAGTAAAACATAAGAAGGAAAATGGCTGCATCTCCATATGTTGTCAAAGCAAGAACATCTGTTGTTATCAGCGTGGACAGTTGTCTTCTGTCTCCTCCTCACCAAATTCTGACACGCAACCTTTCTGCGTTCCCATCCCTCACCTGCCTTACCTTCCTTCACTAGTTCCCGGGCAGCCAATGAATTTCCGAGCGGAGGCGAAGAGCGAGAGCACCATTTTACTGACCTGGAGTTCTCCCCGCCAGGACATTATTCTGAAGTACGAACTCCTTTACAAGGAGATTAGCAACAAACCAGGAACCCCGGAGGTGAGTCCGGTTTTGGGGGAGCGGGAATCTGTGGCAGGAAATGCGGAGCGACTGTGCCCCGTTCATACCTGCGTGTTCTTTGTTTCTGTTGCTTGTTTGGGTTGCCAACGCTCGCACCCGCGGCCGCCCTGCAGTTTCTGAAGACCTTTGACCCCGTGACTTCCTTCCTGGTGAAAGAACTCAACCCCAACACGGAGTATGTCTTCCAGCTGGCGGCTCGCTCAGCTTTGGGCCTTGGAGCCCCGACATCGGAGGTCAGGGAGCGCACGCTGCAGTCTAGTAGGTGTCCCTTTTCTTACCCAGAATTCTCTGAAGGGATCACGGTCAGGCAGGAGACACAACGGCTGGGGGTCCAGGTGTGGAATGGTGCCCAGTGTGGGGCTTCAGGGCAAGCCAAACTGGACGCTTGTCTGCCTCAAGTGGCTTTTGCCCCGTAGGAGTTAAGCAAGGAGCTAATTTTTCTCTAGCTGCGGGCTCCCCAGGGGCATCCTGAGAATTATTTTCTGGGTACAAAAGAGAGGAGGGCAGGAGACTCTCTCTTGTGTGGCTGGGCCTGGTTTAATCACAGGACACAAATGTCGTCGGGCTGTGTTTCGAGGGGTGCACGGTGGGCGAGAAGAAGCTGTTAGCCTGTTGACTCTCTCTCTCGTAAGGCTGCCCCCTTACCTCACTTGAAAACATGGCACCATCCTGGGTGAGAAAGCGTGACTCCCTTAAATGGAAAATGCGGTAACCAGGATGATGGGCAGGGGGTGGGCTTCCTGCCCCAAAGGGATGTCGGTTTGCGAGCATCAAATGCTGTGGCTCACGGTTTGGATGGAACAGGAGGAAAACGGATGACTTCACGACTGTATTTTTGAGACAGACCATTCCGCCTTGCTCCTTCCTCTTCCCTTTCCCATAATTCACTGTCACAGCATTTCGCCTCCCCCCCCCACAAAAGAAAGTATGATGGAGGGCAGGGGGGGGGCACAATCACGCCACCATAGGTGCTTTATCTAGTGCTGGTTTTAGTTTAATGGATTGTCTCCCTTCACTGTTGCACCAGGAACAGCACCAATCCTGGCTGGCAATAAAATATGAAACTTTGCTTTAAAAAAAAAAAAGAAAGAATGAGGTGGTTTTCTTTATTGTTTTTCCTTTCTTCCTTTTGGTTCTCTCTCTCTCTCTCTTTCTTTCTTTCTCTTTCCGTTCGTTCTTCTTTTTTTTTTTTTTTTGTCCTTTCCCCCCCCCCCCAACAGCATGAATGGCTGTGGCTGTTCTTTGTATTTCTATCTTCTCTGATCTTTACTGTATTGAACTCGGCCACAGGGTTGGGGTAGCTGTGACCAGACTGGGTAGGGGGGACTGGGGTGTGTGTGGAAGGAGGAACCCCAAGGACGTGCATTTGCTCCTCACTGGAGGCCTCAAAATAGGACCGCTGCCCATCCAAAGGTTACCGATAGCTTCATCTGCCTTTTTTTTCTTGTTATTTCTTTTCCCGACTCTTGTTTTATTTTCTCTGCCTTCTCTCTCCTCCCCACTGCCATTCCCAACGTACACAATTTGTCCCTTCTGCACACACTGTGGCTGTAGTTCAGTCGCCACCGCAGTGGTTCCTTGCACGCAGTTCTCCCCACAGCCTGGTTCAGGCTGATGGGGGGTCACGGTCCAAGGCGTCTGGAGGGGACCCAGTTTGGAAAGAGCGGTCTGAACCTGCAGGCGTAATTCGGGTGTCAGGATGAGGTCAAACGCCTCACGTCCTTGAGGTTAATTTAATGGGGGTCTGGGGTCTTTGGGGTTCCCTGAGCTGGGTGGCTTTCTTGCAGACGTTTCATGACCCACCTAGGTAACATCATCCGTGTTAGAGAGGAGTTGGGTTTGCCCTCCATTTATATAAGTGGGACCTGGCTTGACAGTCTAATCAAGGAACTACCACGAACCCCTTGGTTCTTACCACGGACAAGGCAAGCCGCTTGTATGGAAACAGAGGGGAAATCCCACTGATGGTGTTACCTTGTTGGGTCATGAAACGTCTGCAAGAAAGTAACCAAGCTCAAGAGAGCATCAAGGACCCCACAATCCCCTTCCTCCTCCTCCTCCTCCTCCTCCTCCTCCTCCTCCTCCTCCTCCTCCTCCTCCTCCTCTTCCTCCTCTTCTACCGCCACCACCTCCACAAACCCCACATTCCCTTCTAGCACTGATGACATTACCTAGTTGGGTCATGAGACGTCTGCAAGAAAACCACCAAGTTCAGACAGTACCAAGGACCCCATAATCGTCCCTCTCCTCCTCCTCCTCCTCCTCCTCCTCAAACCCCACATTCCCTTCTAGCATTGATGACATTACCTAGTTGGGTCATGAGACGTCTGCAAGAAAACCACCAAGCTCAGACAGCACCAAGGACCCCACAATCGTCCTTCTCCTCCTTCTCCTCTTCAAACCCCACATTCTCTTCTAGCACTGATGATGTTATCTAGTTGGTTCACGAGACGTCTGCAAGAAAAGCACCAAGCTCAGACAGCATCAAGGACCCCACAATCATCCCTCTCCTCCTTCTCCTCCTCAAACCCCACCAAGGACCCCACAGTTCAATCCTGAGCCACAATTATTCTCTTCTTGGTCTGTTGGGGCGTGTAACTGGTCTTACCTTGACCAAGAAGGTTAGGACATCCATAAGTAAAAAAAAAATATGGACTTTATAGCACCTCTTCATACAGTGGGAACAGGACCACCTGGTCTCAGGGAATGGGGGATTCCTTGCAGGATGCTGCTTAGCTTTGGGGGGGGCAGAGGGGAGGGGAACTCACCTGGAATCAGAGCCCCCTTCATTCATTTCCTGTCTTTGCATCCTTCCTGACTGTAATTGAAATCCTGTGGCCAACATCCAGCCAGGTATCTCCCCCGGCTTTTTCAGAGTCTCCTCCACACTTATTGTTTTTGCAATGGTGTGAGGAGGGATAATGCAGTGTGTTGTACGAAAAGGGGCGGTGGGAAAAATAATGTCCTTTTTAACCGGGGCACAACGGCGGGAGGGCTGGTGCATTGGAAGGAAAAAAATAGGCAGTTGGAAATTGACCAGACGTCGATTATTTTTTGCTTCGTTTTTTTGTTGGTCATGGTTGATTGGGTGTGCTGGGGTTTTGTTGTTGTTGTTTGGCAGGAAGGGTAGACAAAGGCCATGGTGGAAATGGCTGTGGGTAGCTGTGAAATTGTGTTATTTGGTTTCCCGTGAAAGGGAAAGGGTCTTTGACCCACTGGCTGCTCACCCTGGAGGAAAGGCTAAGGACTTTTCTGGGCTCCCGTCATTCAATTTTTATTGGCCCCGTGGAGTGATTGACGTCCCTGTCCCCTCCCCGTTCCCGGCCTTTCCTGAGAGGGGTCTTGGAATAAAGCCAAACCAGGAATAACCTAGGTTGAGATCTGGGGCCAAGAGTCACCCTCCCTTCCTTTCCTCTTTTCCTTTCTTCCATCCATTCCCTCCCTCCCTCTGTCATTCCTTCCCATCCATCTATTTCCTCCGTTCCCATCCATCTCCTTCCTTCCTTCCTTCCTTCCTTCCTTCCTTCCTTCCTTCCTTCCTTCTCTCACCCATCTATTTCTTTCCTTCTTTCCCCACTCATTTCCTTCCTTTCTTCACACCCATCTATTTCCTTCCTTCTTTCTTTCCCCACCCATTTCCTTCCTTGCTTCCTTCCCACCCATCTATTCTTTCCTTCTCATCCATTTCCTTCCTTCCTTCCTATCCATCTATTTCCTTCCTTCTTTATTTCCCTACTTACTTACTTACTTCCTTGCCATTCATCTATTTCCTTCCTTGCTTGCCACTCATCTATTTCCTTCCTTCCTTCCTACCCATCTATTTCCTTCCTTCTTTATTTCCCTACTTACTTACTTACTTACTTCCTTGCCATTCATCTATTTCCTTCCTTCTTTCTTTCCTCACCCATTTCCTTCCTTCCCACCCATCTATTCCTTCCTTCTCATCCATTTCCTTCCTTCCTTCCCACCCATCTATTTCCTTCCTTTTTTATTCCCCTCCTTCCTTCCTTCCTTCCTTCCTTCCTTCCTTCCTTCCTTCCTTGCCACCCATCTATTTCCTTCCTTCCCATACATTTCTTTCCTTCCTTCCCACCCATCTATTTCCTTTCTTCTTTATTTCCCTACGTACTTACTTACTTACTTACTTGCCACCCATCTATTTCCTTCCTACCTTCCTCACCCATTTCCTTCCTTCCGATCTATCTGTTTCCTTTCTTCCTGTCCCTTTCCTTTCTTACTCTCTTCCTCTTTTCATTCCTCTCTCTCTTTCTCTCCCGTCAGTTAGCTCAGACCATCTCTGCTTCCTGGGGGAGCCGGACCAGGGGTGGGGGTGGGGATTGCTTGGTGGTCTTGTAACCCCCTGAAAACCTGTCTTTTGTTTCCTGACTGGCTGCTGGAGGAAGGAGCCCAATTCTTCCCTGTTCCTGGCGGCATCCTTCGGCGTTCAGACCTCCCAGCTCGGGCAGGCTTCTGTGTCTTTTCCTCCTCCTCTTCCTCCTTCTTCCTTTCTTTAACTTGTTTTCTCCTCCAGTGCAGCCTTCACCTCATACAGTTCTCCTGGCGAGTTTCTCTCTCTCTCTCTCTCTCTCTCTCCCTCTTTCTCTCTCTCTCTTTTTCTCCCTTGGCTGGCATGCCTGTCTGATGCATGGATGCTTTGTCTACGTGAAAAAAAAAAAAAAAAAGACTTTTTCACTGCAAAAAAAATAGCACGATTTGTTCCCTCCTCTTCTTTTTTCTCTTTGCTCCCAGGGCATATCTGCATACTTTTCAGCCTGTCCAGGTTTTCTTCTCTAAGATCTGCAAGGATTTCCGATATTCAGCAGGTCGAGGTGATGTTTTCAGAAAATTGGAGGGGGGGGGGACTTAAATCCCTTTGCATTTAAGTCGGTGTTTCTCGGCCTGCTCTGAGCCGAAATGTACTTCTCGGGCTATTATGAGGCAGTTTGACCCTAGGTTTGCAAGGGGAAAATTGCCCCCCCACCTCCCCCAAGTAAACAGTATTGGAAGAGATGATTTCAAAATGTATTTTATGCAGGGTGTTCAAGTATACGTGCATATTTACGGGAATGTTTCTGCTGTGTGCATAAGAATCATTATTATTGTTATTTTGCTGGTGTGGCGTGATTTCTAATTTATTTATTTACTTGGCGTATGACACCTACAGAGGTCATGCAATCACTGATATGTAGATTTAGTTTAAATAAAGCATCTCATCATCTTTATGGGATGACGAAAACAGAGGTAAACAAGCAGATGGA